AATTGTTTGAACATGGGATGTGTGGTTTTGTTAATTGACGAGGATAGGGTCCGTGTGGTGAAGGTAGATTTATGGAAGTTGGTTCACCCAAACAAAAAATGGTGTGAGATAATGAGGTTTTTTGTTTGGTGTTTTTTACAGGTGTATCTAAGACCAAGCAGGGTAGGCCTGAAGCACGGATGTTGAAGAACGGTGAAATCGCTTTATGTGTCCTGGGGCGGGAAGATGTTGCCGTCGGGTGGTTGGTCAGCCAACGAGCGAACAGAGTGGCGAACGGCCAAGAGTGAGAGCTGCTGGAAGACTTTGAGGATTTGGGAGGAGTCGAGGAGCTAAGAACGATGGTTGTAGAGTGGGTACCGGTGCCAGCAGGCCAGACTTCCGGGAAGGGACTGTTCCCGCCCAATCGCCAGAAGAGGCCAAAAATGCAGAATGCAGACAGAGCCGGGACACCGTGGGAGTCGATGGTGCAGGACCTATCCAAGCCATCCAGAGAGTGTGTGGAGGTGGCCAAGAAGGGTTTGTAAAGGAAGGGATGGAGGGAGGAAGCGATCTGGTGGAGAGGTTTGTGCAGACCCAGCACAGGACGCCGAAGGTACCGTTAGTTAGCAGACGGGTCTGACAAGTGAGGAGAGGAAGGGTGGAGGAGAGACAGGAGCTGGACAGAAGGAGAGGGACAGAAAGAGGAAGAGTGAAAATACACAGTAGAAGACGAGGGAGGTCCGAGAACAGAGGGGCAGGCAAGATATTGCGCAGAGGATGGCACAGAAAAGCGTCCTGAGACTCCACCCTCAGGTCATGTTGTGCCACCAGGGTTCACAAACGATGATTGGGTTGTGCATGCTTTGAACGTGTCTTTGGTTCACCCCAACCTGGAGGTGGGGATTGGCGCAGTCAAAAAGATAAGTGAAAGTTTACTCAGTTACTAATGAGGTGAGTGCCCCAGCCCTTATTTCCGGGGGCTGGTGCGACCGTATAGACACACCTGACCTGTGGACAACGGCGTTTTTTTTTTTTTTTTTTTACAGTGTATCTAAACCAACAGGTACTGAAGCAATGAACTGAAATCCTTTATTGTCCTTGGAGCGGAAGATTTCCTCTGGTTTCAGCACGGAGCAACAATGGCAACGGCAATAGAGCTGCTGGAAACTTTGGAGGATTTGGGAGATCGAGAGCTAAAACATTTTAAGTGGTACCTGCAGCAGGCCAACTTCCTGAAGGACTTCCCGCCAATCCCAAAGAGCCAACTGCAGAA